TACTAAAACTAAAGTAGATTAAAATCATAATAATTAAAATTATTTTTTAAATCCATATAACTTCTTAAATATTTATCCTAAATATTAACTATCTTATATTATTTTGTAGCTCATGTTATGATCTACAATTTTACTTAGAACATCAACAAACATTTACTTGAACTCGAACTGAACTTTTGGTCAGGTTTGAGTCTGATTCAAAATTTGAACTGAACTCGAATCAGACTTTTAATTAGGTTCAAATTTTTGAACTGGACTTTTCATTAGGTTCGAGTCTGGTTCAAGCTCAAACTGAACCAGACTTGAACTGAACCAGACTTTTTTTCGGAACCCTAGATACTAGTATTGCATTTCCATTCTTCTTATTAAAACTTTATCTCTGATGAAGAAAGTTAATGCATTTTTATCTTGTTGATATGATTTTTTTTGTTTTTGTTGAGATTTCTGAATATTCTGGTAAGCTATTGTTCTATTAATTTCTAGTTTGCTCATTATTATACAAGCTCACTTGATAATTTCATTTGTTATAACTTCATCATTTTCTTTCAATAGTTGTAATTTAAGATCTATTAAAATTATCACTTGTCTTTCATAGATCAAGTAAAATGAAGTGAATTTGATTATACTTTGTTAAATTGTTTTATAGGTGAATAATACTGAGAGTAAGTAAAAATTCCATTCATTTTTGGTAATTATACTAGTTTTGCTAATGATTCATACAATATTCTATTTAATTATTTAACTAATCTATTAATTTGAGAATGATATGATGCTAAGAGATAATGTTTAATTTGATAAGTTTCATATAATATTTTAATTAATTCATTGACAAAAGTTATTCCTTTATCAAAAATTAATTCTCTTAGAAATTCATATTTATAAATAATATCTTTATATAAGAATATTATTATTGTTAATGTCATATCAGAAATAGCTCTTGCTTTTGTTCATTTTGTTTCATAATCAATAATAACTATTATATATTTATTTTTGTTAGAGGTAAGTAATAATAGTTCTACTAAGTCAATTCCAATTTTTTGAATGGCAGTTTTATTTTAATTAAATATAATAGATTATTTTTCCTTAGTTTTTCTTTTTTTTGATACACATTACATACTTTAATATAATTTTGATATCTTAGTATAAATTTGATCAATAATAGTTTTGAAATATTCTATAATATGTTATTTTTATTTCAAAATATTTAATATGAATTGCTAAATGTTCATTAAATAATACTTCTTTTATTTTTAGTTATTTTAATTACTTTTAGTGATTGTTCAGGATCTTAATTATTTTGTCGATATAATATCTGATATTTCTTTCACATGATAATAATATTTGACAAAAAATAATAATTATTATGAATCTAATTAATATTTATTAAAATATTTTAATTAGTTCTTTATTATAAATTAAATTTATATCATAATATAAGGATAATTACTGAAATAACATCATTTAATTAAATAATTTACCAAAATTAACTTGTTGAAATTAAATCTGAAATTATTTTGACTTATTTTATTAAATTATTTGAATTCTACAAACCAAAACAAGTATTTCTAGATACTTTTTAAGTATTTATTAATATAAGTAATATAGCAAAACTAAATTATTTGCTGAAATACCATTTTTTTCAAAAATAATTTAAAAGATCATTTTTATTATAATATATACTTAATATAGATTATTTTATTAAAATTTAACATATATTCTATTTAAAGATAATCTCCTAAATTATTTTTGGAAAAAATGATATTTTGGCAAATAATTTGGTTTTGTTATATTGCTTATATTAATAAATACTTAAAAATCATCTAGAAATACTTGTTTTAATTTGTAAAATTCAAATAATTTATAATTTCAGATTTAATTTTGACAAGTTAATTATTTAATTAAATAATATTATTTCAGTAACTATTCTTAGTTCTATTTCTATATTTTAATTGGTTTTTCTTATGTATTTAATTTTTTTTGTATTATCTTGTGCTATATTAAGTTTATTTCATATTTAATTAGTTTTATTGCATAATAACAAAAGAGTATTAATAATATTTTAGTATTTTAACATGTGTTGATATCAGATTTAAATGTGCAATACTTGGCAAATTAGAGTAACATTATGTATTAGATTCTAATTAATTTTTTTAAAATAGAAATAAATATATAAGTAGCATGTATTTTAGCTTAGAATCATTATCAAGTTATTAATTCATATCTTTTAATAATGTTAAATAAAATTTGATTATGACTTATATTATTTTGGTCTTTTAATTATATTATCTTAACAAGAAACTATTATTCATATTTTATTATTTGTATTATTATTGTTTTTAAAATTCAAGAAATGCCAGGAAGACATTATATTATTTTTATTTTCATGTTGTTGATCTAAGAGAGACAATATTTATATTTTATTTATTATTTGTATTTGTATTTTTATATAACTATCATTAACTGGTACTTTGAGAAAGTTTTGATAATTATTATATTTATTTTCATTAAGTTTCTTGTTAAAGTTATATTTAATTCCATTGTTTTATTATTTGATATTTAAATTATAAGTTTTGATAATTCAGTAATTCAATTTTTTAATTGAATATAATCACTTGTCATATTTCAAAAATATTATTATAGGTAATAACTCTGAAAATTGTAACACTATAAGAAAGTGCAATTCTTTAACAAAATTGAAAGCATGTGGTATAAATTCAAATATTGAAGATTTTTTGCAACATGAGATTATAGTTTATAATAAAAAAATATTGTCAATGTCAAAGTTCATTATTACTTGAAAATTTATTATATAATTATATTATAATCAATAGAAAACTCAAAATATTATTGTCCCAATGAGAAGAAGAAGATTAATTCTCAAGTTAAAAAAGAGATCAATATCACATATTAACAATTGCTTGAATATACTAACATTTGGGCACTTCATGCAAGAAATTATCAGGAATCATGAAGAATAAATCAAAGCAAATAAGAAATTGTGTTATGAAATTGAGCAACAAAAAATATAATTATAAAAGACAAAAAGAAAACTTATATTCTTGAAATCAAGATCTATTTATTAGAAAGACTTAAGAGTGTATTCCAACCAAGACATATACTTAAAGGGGGAGAACACTAAAGCAAGGTAGTGGATTAAGAATTAAGTTAACTCGGATAATCTTATAATTATCCGGATTGACTTAAAACACATGACCTATATCTGTAACACATTCAATGATTGTCTGAATTCTGCATAATATCATCGCTATCAAAACAAAAACAAATATCTTTTGTTTTGTAGTTGGCCCAGTAAATTCTAGCTGGAACCCTCACCAACGAAAAGAAGCGCCGAATACTCACTAACAACACCATCGACGTGAATCAAATTGGAAACTGATCACGACCTGGAGAAATTCGCAACTTCAGAGAAATGAAAATGGCGGCCAAACTCCTAACATCTTACGCGACCAGTTTCGTACTGAGTTTCTTGAGTGTGAGTATTTGATGTTTCTTTTTATTTATTGATGGGTGTCTAGTTTCTTCATTTCGTTGGTGACGTTGCAAAATTTCGACTGGTTTCTGGTTTGGTCTCGCACCGGGTCTATACGGTATTGTTGAATGCCCATATCTCTGGAACATATAATCAGATCTTTGCGATCTATAGCCCTATAATTAAGGTGAATATTTTTGCGTTTAGATCAACAAAATCGGGACAATATTGGTGGAGTTATTGGTATTCAAAGTCGACGCATGAAAAATCGCAAAATGCCGGACGGTCCGTGAGGCAACAATATCTCACCGATCTGTGTTTAGAATTTTGCGAACTCAGATTCATTTGATTCGTTTAATCAAGATGAACATACTTTGTATCCGGACCACAAAAATTGGTTGGATATTGTTGGCATTTTTCCGAGATCGCTGGTGTTGGCTAGGATTAGTAAGAGTTCCTCGGGTGTCCAGTTTCTTTGTGCTGGTTTCGTCGCGACCGGATCCAGTGGGTTCTTTGATGATATTTCAGATGAAATGGGAGTCTCTGAATGGAAGTGGTTTTGAAAACAATGTCAACAACAATCAAATAAAATTTTTAATTGTTCAGTTTATTTTTGCTGTCAACCAGAAAGACTGTAAAATTGCTTGCCAAACTTTATGATTAGTACTTTTAGTGTGGATTTATTCAAAGAATGTTAAAGCTTATGACTAGTATTTTTATTGGCTATTATCACATGAAACTATCTTGTTATTTAGTACGTGAAGTTTTTCACATGATACTACCCGGCTTTAGTGGATCCCTTAAAGCAGTGTTGTTACTTGGACGTAAATCCAGCAATTTGATTGGTTGGGACAAGTGTCCTGACCAATTAAATTGCTGGATTTACGTCCAAGCGACAACACTGCCTTAAGGTGCGTATACAGTATTATAAATACAGGTTTGTCATGGCAAACCTGTTTTCCCACATTCACAATGCAAAAATTCTTCTCACCCCTCGCCTGGTTTACTTACGCCGTGATACCCCCAGTGTGTGCATCTTTCTGCTGGTTGGTCCGTATGGCGCATTTTCACAATCTGTTAACAATTTTAGCTTCTTTTGTAACCTCCCTAACTTGTTTCCATTTCCACATTCTTTAGGCTTTCCCTTTGGCCTTTTTTGCCTCAACCTTAGCCATTGGATTTGATATTATACAGTTGTGGAAAGGTGATAATTACAATATCGATAAATCATATATGTATAACCTAATACACAGTCAACGTCGATATAACGGACCTCTCCGTTCCTGCCATGAGCAATACTACTTATCCTGAATCCAACGAGTAAATATTACATATGATTTCATCTGGGTCATTATAGTTAATAAAGGATTAATCTTTATCACATTATTTTTAGAATGTCTGAGTACGCCAACTTCCCATCTACTCATAAGGCGCTTAAAACTATTTTTTCGCAAGCTTCCAACCAAGAAATTGCAACGTATGAGAGGCAACTTGATAATGTGGAAAATCTCGACCCTGTTCTTATCATTTCTCCAAATCAAGTATGGATCAATCAGCATGGTTTGCTGGCTTATCGTGCAGTTATGGATGCTTTTGCGACGGATGGTCTTCGAAATAGGCGTAGAGATGAGAATTCACGCTGTGTCTTCCACTTCGCAACCGTCACTGAACTCTACACCACACGCAGAAATATTTACAGTCTTTTCCCCAATGCCTTTTTCGTTCCCCTCTCCATCCAAGCCCAACTTCCCAATGCCCAACAACAGCCCGTTGGAACGGCATGGATACTAACAAAAGTAGGGATACGCAAAAGCGATTTCGGGGAAGATGATAGGTTCTTTTGTATAGGATAAGCGAATTTTATTTTACGTAATTTGAATATCTTGATTGTATTAGCAGTCAGTTTATGTATTGCAACACATGTCAATTCGAGTTTTCACGTGTATCAGTATAATCTTCCTCTTTGCTTAAACTTTATGATCACGAAGATGTTCTGGAATAACTATATATGGTCTTCATAATCTTCATAACACCAAACATATCTTAGAACAATCCAATTCTCTTCACATAATTCTTTCTTGAGTTGATCCCGCTCTTGCTATCTAATAAAATTATTTGGATCTCCTTTATGAAAGAATTTGTGATATTTTTCGTGCTGGTCTTCTTGCACTTCGATTGCGAAACCGTGATCATAGTAAGGAATATCAAGTTCTAATCCATTTGGATGTTTAGAAGTTTTCAAGGAATTGGGTCTACGATTTTTGGATGGTGGTTGTCTTAAATATTTTGTGGTAATTTCTCGACATAGATTCTCACGTTTAAACTTTGAACATAATGGACACCAGCTACCACTTTCACATTACTAAGAGAGGCATATCACGAATGACCTTTAATGCAACACCATAATAATGGCAATTGATTATTTTTATACTCGGCTGAAAGGCATCGTCCCTGCTTATATTGCTTAGCATCCTCAAGAGTTACCTGCGCAATATGAACACCAACTTCCTTGTTGAATACTATTGGGAACGGCTTCCCATCTATGGTTTTTTCACAAATCCATTCTAATTTTGTTTGTGAATCGTAGTACATTGCCTGTGTCTAGATAACGCAATTTTTTTTAGCATCCTCAAAAGTTAATCTTACTTTAATTGCACAATATGAACACCACGAACCAGAATTTTTAATGCTATTAAGCGAGCTATTCCAAATATGACTTTTATAGCATTTTCATATAGGAGTTGATATATTTAGTCGAAAGACATTTACTAAGAGCGATTTTCTTGGCATTTTCAAGAGTAAAACGAGCATTACCAGCGCAATATGGACACAACTTACCATTTTTCACATCACTAAGAGAGGCATACCACGAATGACCTTTAATGCAATACCATGATAATGGTAATTGATTATTTTTATACTCGGCTGAAAGACATTGCCCGTGCTTAGACAATTTGCTTAGCATCCTCAAGAGTTAGTTTTACAATTCCCGCAATAGTATGTACAACATGATCCAGAATTGTTAATTCTGCGAAGTGGGGCATTCCATGTATGATTCTTAGAACAGTGCCATATTAATGGGGTTTTATTATCTTTAGCAATAGTACAAGCGTCATTAAGGATAATTTCTTCATTGCGAATAGTTGTTTTTTTTCAATAATTGTCAGAGCTTTTTAATATGTAAAAATACAACTGCAGAAGATAGAAAAAGAATTATTATACCATTTTATTCTGCATATTAGGATTTCAATGAAGTCTCCCAATCTATCCGAATTCTATGTGGATAATCTGAGGGCACACTTAAAGACAATAAAATTTTGCTCACATAAATATTTATCAATGATTCGTCAAAATTTTGATCGTGAATTTTATTCACAGTTTTTGAGCCATGTGATAATTGGACAACATCTGATTCTACTTCTTGGTCCCGAAATTTCTTTACTCGCTTTCTCTCTTTTATCTCATCACTAACCCTTTTCTTATTTTCTAAATCTAAAAGTTATCAACTTCTTCATCCTTTAATGTTTTGAACTCATCAGAACAAGTGTTGGTCATGGAATGGTCTACTTCTCGATGAGTCAAAGAATCTGTGACCTCTTTATCTTCTGGTGATTCAGGCTCTATACAGATAGGTTGGTATATATCAGAATTTGACACATATTTTTTGGCACTTTAGAGACATATTTTTGGCGTGAGCCAGTACTTTGGTGCTGAGGAGATATCGTCAGAATTTACTCCATAAGAAGCATTAGCTGAAGGTTGTTTGATTTCCTTAATATCATCGTCTAATTTTGCAATAAGGTTACTCTTTTCTTTACCTTTCTGCTCTAAATTCGTGAATCTGGCTTCATGGTCTTTCAGAGCTTTAACTTTGCATTCTCGGCTTTAACTTCGATATTCTCAGCCACAACTTCAGCAAACTTCTTTCTAAGTTCTCTCAATGAATCAATTGTGGATTGTGTGTTTGTCATTGTTTTATATAAGATATGGATATATTCAAAAGATTTAGTCACATAACTGAAATTTCCGTGACGGTCCCCGTCACGAAAAAAAAAATTCTCAGTCATAGGTCCATATTAACATATACAATACAACATGAAAAAAATATTGGTAAAAATCGCTTTAACACGCCTTTGCTTTATTTATTGTAATAAAAATCGAAAAGAATCAAATCTATCCATTGTTACAATACTAATGCCTACACTATAAATTTTTCGTATATATAAATTATCTAAACTACACATTACATCAACATTAATTATGATCCAATTTTATTTGTTATCGATATTCTGGATAGAATAAAAATTGTTATCAGTTATACCTGTACGAAACATCCAATCACACCAATATGTATCAGTTGTTCGTTATCGGTTATCCGTTATCCGTTATCTGTTCGAACCTGAAGAAAAAAGGCATAACCCGCTAAAAGTTTATGTTGTCTGCCTCCTGCAATGCTAATAAATTTCTCGGAAACCTGTACGAAAGAATAGTCATAAGTTTGCATGCCCAGAAGTTGATTCATTGAAATGCACTGTCACAACACAAATATTCATACCTTAATTGCGTGTTCGAAACTTTCGCCAAAAAATAAATTATTTCTGATAGCAGAATCCAATATACAAACATTACCCTTCCTTCAATCATAGATTTCGGGAGATAATTAGAAAACAATATAATATGACTACATATCTGATATATCAACTTTTCTGGCTTCAGACATATGCGAGAAGGTGGAATGAAATGTGTTATGCGCATTCGTGAACTAGGAGGGAGAATTAGTTAATGAAATAGGTAAATGGATAGATAATATAGAGTAGGGATCACCATTTTACTAAGAACCAATAAAGTTTCGCCCACAATTCAGACTTAATTTTAATCGTATGGTAATGTGTTATGGGGTGAATATCTGTATATATGCTAATCTTTTTTTAGCTTCATAAAGAAATCAAAATTATCGCATATTGATTCTGAGATTTTGGATCCTTTTTGCTATAGCAGTCGAATGACGATACATCTTTCAGAGTATGTGACTCCATAAGTCTTGAACAGGCCATGCCAGTCGGTTGACATAGGAAGGATGTGAAAGCAGTCGCAACCGCAACCACCCAAAGAGTGGAAGTTATCAAGCAAAAAGAAGACTGATGGGTTTGCCCTCAAGATACACAAGTTACAGCTACTCTCGATTAAAAGGCTTAGAATACATGAAACGTTTGCATTTACTAATTTCCTTCCAAGTTCTGATTGGACGCAAGTAATTTCCATCGCTAATTGGTTGACTGCACATGAATCCACCAGGACGACCCCAAAAATAAACAAAACAAAGGCATATTTTTAATCTAACCTATGAAACTATCTTTTTACTATAAGTATATTTTTTGTTTGCCAAATAATCTTGATCCATGGCAAAACAAAGTTACTGTCACGTGATATTGATCAGATTCAACCAATAAAAATTCTGCATAACCAATAGAAATATAGCAAATTTTTGATCAATCCAGCAAAACAAACTTAGCACAAGAAAATGAAATAAGATAAAAAATGCGAAAAATACAAAAAACAGATATCTAAATCTAGTTTGACACATTATTAAAAAATGTCGAAAAGACAATTTTATATATAATTTTGATTTCAGCTCTAATCCTATTCTAATACTTGATATTCAACATTAATCGAATATTTTAATGAATTTATTCTCAAATCACGTGAAAGTCAAGATCCTGATCATCCGATATATCTCTTAAAATTATGTATCAATCAAATTGTAAGATCAACATGCAATGCAAAAATTCAAACAAATGCTTGTTTTTGAAAAATAACTTGTATCTTAAAATTATGCATATGAAACTATCTTTTGTACTTTAATAAAAAATATTTCTTGCAAAAATTTTACATTTTCGTTTGCTATATGATAATCCTAACTCTAAATCTAATCAAAATTTTATTTAATATTATACATTATAATTTTAAAGAGATATCAGATGATCAACATTAGAATCAGAGATCACAGAATTTGGAAATTTTTTTTATCTCTTTTCACATAATATTCTAATCATGTGAAAAAAAGTGATTGTCACGTGATAATAATCTGATCTGATCTTGATCGACCTAATTTTTCAATCAATCAGCATTTGGTATGTATATTATACTTAATTGGCTAAAGAGTCTTAAATTATTTATATGAGCAAATAATATAAGTAATATAATAATCTTAAATTGTTCATATGAATAAATAATACAAGTAATACATACAAGTTTAATGTTAATAAAGCTATATTATTATGAGAAAATTTATTTTTTTGGTGTTAGTTTTCAAGTTGTTATAAAGTATTTTTTTTATAAAATTACACTTCAAAATTAATTGCAATTAGCATAATCAGAAAGTAAGTTTTCTATTTTTTGATCTCCATGTACTTTGTTGTGTATATGCATCTAATTTTTTTCACACTTTTCGATAACTGACAATTGACTTCAAAGGAGCATCAAAACTTTTTACAAATTGATCATTATTTTTTTTCTTCTGTACAATATTAACATAATATTAAAAATTTTCTTATAATGAGCAAACTTTATCTCTATTTCATCTGCTTTACTATTTTTTACTATTTTGTGAACATGATTCTTTGATATAATCATCTTCTGTGATAATTAATTCATATCTCTTCCAAGAATCATTTTTTTGACAAATTGCTGGTATTTTATCAGTATTAAAAGAGATCAAAAATAATTATGATAGTATATTGTTTTCATAAAAATAGGTAAAAAATAGTTATCATTTTTTTGTAATTAAATATTTACAAAGGAGATAAAAAGATAAAGATCTTTACTAGAACAATAGGCAGTGATTGCGTTGTGTGAAAAAGCATGGAGGAATAAGCAAAGTATAAAATAATCTTCTAATATTATTATTTATTAGCTAAAGTGCTAAAAGATTCACAAAGAATCTAACAAGTTCACAAAGAACTTTTAAGAATAAAGTGTATTTTATAAGATAAAAGACGTTCATCAAGAACTAAATGAATTCACCAAGAATTTAAAATATTTGTAAAAGATTTGTAAGAAAGATAGAACACAAAGTAGGGTTCCGAAAAAAAGTCTGGTTCAGTTCGAGTCTGGTTCGGTTCGAGCTTGAACCAGACTTGAACCTGACGAAAAGTCCGGTTCGAAAATTCAAACCTAATTAAAAGTCTGGTTCGAGTTCGGTTCGAATTTCGAACCAGACTTGAACCTGACAAAAAGTTCAGTTCGAGTTCAAGTAAATGTTTGTTGATGTTCTAAGTAAAGTTATAGATCGTAACATGAGCTACAAATTGATATAAGATAGTTAATATTTAGGATGAATA